GCGAAGTCTTTTCAATATAACGGGAAAATCTCAGTATGAGCGGCCCGGCCCGGCCTGTAACGCTTTTGAGAGGCTTATATCTCAGCAACCGCTGGACCGATTGGCCTGCGGTCTTTTTTGCTGGGTAGCCCCATCCCTTCTACCCCGTAATTGACTACTTTTGATACATTTCAGTGACCGTCGTGGCACGTGCCACGTGAAAAGTCAAGGGTGTTCAAGCAGTTTTGCAAAAGTAATGATTTTGAGAGGCCCATATCTCAGCAGCGGCTTGAGCGATTGTCTTGCGGTAATTTTTATAGGGTAGCTGCATCCCTTCTACTAAAGGTTTGATACTCTTGATCTATGTGAGTGACCCCCACTGCACGTGCAAAATACAAAAAGAAGAGGTGCCAAATTTTTTTCCCATTTCAGGAACTCGGTAATTACTGGGGCGATTTCGCTGAAACTTGGCATACAGGTAGGCACCCACCAGGCAATGAAATCCCATGTGTTGAGGTTAGGGTGCTACTGCACGTGCGCACGTGCAGGGGGCGTTTCCAGATCTCGAGAACGGCTGGGCCGATTGCGCTAAAATTTGGTACACGGTTGGGGACCGGTTAGTAGGGTGCCGTGCAAAAGTCATTTTGGACCCCGTTTGCACGTGCGCACGTGCAGAATGCCGCTTCCAGATCTCAGGAACGGCGGGGCCGATTGCGTTCAAATTTGGCACACCGCTAGCGACCGGTTAGAAGGGTGCTTTGCACAAGCCCGTTGGAAGTACCCTCTCGCCCTTCCGCACGTGCAGGGCTCACTATCTCGTTCGCTGGTTCTTCGCCCAAAAGGCGTTTTACTGGTTTTATGAATTTATTTCAGTGTTTTAATCGATGATTCTCTCTGATAATATGACAAAGCAGGCATATAAGCAATTAGTGCAACCCTAGCCGATAGCTGCTAAGAGATACGCTGAACCTGATTTGACCAGATCTGCACCTAATCTGTACCAGATGTGCACCAAATGTGTACCAGATGGCCGTCGTGAAAACGGCTATTGTCCTTTTTCGCTCCATATTAGTACCCAGCGTGATACCGACACTGGCCTATTCTACCAGCGGTATCATTTGTCCATATGGGTATACTGCGCTTATGTTTGTGTTGGCTGTCATCATATTTGCGCGTTATGTTCTGGGTGTAATGCACGCACGTCCTAGGACTTCGCCTTCGCTCTGCAAACTCACCGGCGCTTCTTCGTGCGCATACACGTGTTTTAACTCCCGCTCCCTCGGTGTTCGGTGTGAGGGGGATGGGCGGGTCACCTCACAAAGGCTGGCTTTGTGACTGACCATTGTGTTGCCTGACGAATACAATCCCTGAACACACGCCAGCCTTTTCCTCGGGATTGAGACGGCGGATAAATGCTAGTTTTCGGGACGGGCAGGCACCGTACCCGAACACTCATTTATCGGACGCTCTAGCTCCGAGGATTGACCTCGTGACGTCAGGCGCGCGACCGCGGCGGCCGGGGCGAGGCCCGAGGCTCTTTCGCTCACTGGACGGCACGCCGAGCGGTCGCGACCAGCATCCCACCCCCACCCCGACTGCCACTTGTGTATACTGTATATAATGATATAATGTATAGCGCGATGCTGTAAATGTACGTTATGCCATGTTTTATGAAGACTGTATCTGTCTATGGTATGTAGTCCCATGCGGATACGCTCGTCTGCATACGTTTCAGCGATTTCAGCGTTATCTGTCATTTGCTGAAAATGGATCCCTGTTTGGTCAGTCATTTTCGGAAGGTATTCGCCAAGGCAGAGTGTTGTATCTTCTGGGCGGGTCACCTCACAAAGGCTGGCTTTGTGACTGACCATTGTGTTGCCTGACGAATACAATCCCTGAACACGCGCCAGCCTTTTCCTTCGGGAGCGAGACGGCGGATAAAGAACAATAACAGAAACTTCGAAGCAGCTTATGATAGCCGAATACTGATTCCATATAAATAGTTACGCTGGGCTGTGGACAGGATGCTGCGGACGATTGTATGAGAAATGAGGGCACGCATGCAGGATAATCATGACTGCTGATTAACCCGCGCCCTGATGGGGTCGGCCGAGCAACGCGGTCTGATGGGGCGCGCCATTTTGCCCCCCCCCCCCTAAGATCTCGAGAACCACGCAACATAGCGACAAACGGCAAACGGCGTTAGATAGCCCCAACGGGGAACTACCTTGTGACCCAATTTCATTGACCTCGGTCAAACCGATGACGTCACAGGTCAGGTCAAAGGTCGAATTTTCACCGTTTACAGCCATTTCAAGAAATGCGTTGTAAAATCGAGTAAAATGCATTTCATTGAAAATCATCGATGGGGAAATGTTCGTCAAACACATATTTTGCTATTTGAGGTCACTGATACCAGGTCAGGTCACAGAGGTCAGGTCACTGCAAGGGTCACAAATTAAAAATATCATGTGATGCATGTCCATTTTATATGCCAAATGCGATTATGTGGGACAGGCAGCCCTTGGGGTCAGTTGAGATTATGTTTTGCTGAAGGTCAGGTCAAATTAGGTCAAATTTCAAAGTTGATATTTTGCATAAAATGGGTATCAATTTGATGCAGCTCGTCACGGGGAGTTCAATGTGGTCTGCGTTTTGCGCTACATGGTCTAGAATTGCTAAAAAATTGAGTTAAAATTTGACGTCATAAATTTTGAACAGTTTTTTTCGCTATAACTTGGCCAGAAAAAGAGGTATCGATCTAAAATTTGGTATGTATATCGAAAAGTGCAGGGACTATCACACATATTCCGTTTTTTTTAATTCGAAAAAATGGATTTTTTTTAGTTTTTCTAAAAAATCATTTTTTTATTTTTGGGGTTCAAAATCCCAAAATTTCGAAAATCCGAGATAGCAGTTTTGTAGCGCCGTCTTTTCTCTACACAACCACATAAAGAACTTTAAAATTTCTTGTTAACTGTAGAATTGGTGACCGTTTCAAGATGTCATATTTTTTGCTCATTTTTACTCGAACATGACCTCAGTTTGACCTCAATAACTCCTGACCCGAGGTGACCTGTGACTTAAAATTTTGTGTGAAGGTGTCCAATTGATGCCCGGTAAGGTACCCAAAATTTGGCGACGCTGGGCTCCGCCGTTTTTTCGCTATTTTAGAAAAATCACAGGGGGGCCAAAATGCCCCCCCCCCATCAGGGCGCGGGTTAAAACAGCTGGATTGTTGAAGCCGGGGGATGACTCGCAGCAACAAGCTCTGCTTAGCTGCGGGTCTCCCTTGGCGCCGGCGAAAAGTTTCGAAAATAACCCATTTTTTCCAGCAGCGGATCGAAGATGTGCTGTATGTACTGTGTATGCTTGCATGCATGTTTTCGCCAGGGATGTGTGTGGGTGTATGTATGTGGTGTGTGTGGGTGTGTGCGTGTGCGTGCGCGCATGCGTGTGGATGTGTAAGTGGAACGGGGGAGGGGCGTAGAAAGTCTGATTTAGTGTTAGCAGTATATGTGGTGTATGCCTGTGTGTGCATGCAAATAAATTAAAAAAAAAAGACATCACTTTGGAGCCGAGGGTACAAACGCGTGGGGCGAAAAATGGGACATATCGAGCACACGCTGCAGATGGAAGGTCAAGCATTCGTCACTTTGCTCTGGCGTGAAGAACAAAGTAGCATAAAACGTGTTTTGCTTTAACCCGCGCGGGGCTGGGGGGGTAAATTTTACCCCCCCTCGCGAATTTTTGCGATATCTCAAAAACGGCGGCGCGCAGCGCCGCCAAACTTTCAGTACCTTTTCTTACATCAATTTGACACGTTCCCTGAAAATTTGAGCGAAATCCGTCGGAAAATTTTTGAGAAATTGACGTTTTAGTGACGTCATGTTCGCCATTTTCGCCTCAAAAACGGCAAAAGTTCAAACGCCGCTAACATCTTCATTTTTAAAGGAATCAAGACGTAACAAAAAAGGTTATGCGTAATTTTACGTTGTCTATCAAATGGCTATCTCGGTTTTTTGAAAATTTTGGATTTTGGCCTAAATTTTTTCAAAAAACTGACTTTTTTGGGAAAATCATTATAAAATCCAAAATTTTGAGTCTATCGAAAAAAAAACCGGAATATATGTCAGAGAAGTGGTCTATGTGCACCTACATACCAAATTTTAGAAGAATCGGTTCAAAAATGTGGGAGTTATTCAAAATTTTATGACGTCACGACACACAAATTTTTTGAAAAATGACTTTTTTGGAAGTTCTAGACCTCGTACGGAAACAAAAATAGCACCATTCGATTCGCCGTGAAAAACTGCATCAGATAGACACCTTTTTAGGCCTTAACAACCAACTTCAAAATTTGACCTCACTTGACCTGACCTTGACCTGACCTCGACCTGAAATTCATCCAGAGGTGGTCCATATCACTTATTGAGTGTGCCTATTGAATTCTATGAGTAAAATGACCCATAAAACATGTGTCGCACATGCCCTTTTCTATATTTTGTTTTTTGGTGACCTGACCTGACCTGACCTGACCTTGACCTTGACCTCTGAATGATATCGTATGCAACGAATATTGTCTTGGTAGCCTAAGAACACGTTTTGAGCGATCAGTCTCAGTCCATGACTCCATTCTTCGGCAACTACGGTGCAAGGCCGATACTGTAGAAACTTGCAATTTGTACCCTTGACCTGACCTTGACCTTGACCTCAAACTTTAAATTAAGTACATGTTTTTAGTAGTTCGTGATGAGAGCTTTCGATTGGCGTTTGAATTTTCCAAATCGGACCATTAGTTCGGGAGATAACAGGGGGGGGTAAAATTTACCCCCCCCCCCAGCCCCGCGCGTTCGGCTGGAGACCCCAGCCCCGCGCGGGTTAAATGCCGTTTGCTTCGAGATATCTCAATTATCCATGAAACTATTGCCATTTACAACGTGGTACATTATTGTGGGACACCCTGTGTTTTCGTCCATAAGCGCTGCTTAAAATACTACAGAACAGTCAAAACAGGTGCCTTCGACGACTGCAATATATTTACACGTCCAGCTAGTGTGGACACATGTTTGCACCCATGAGAAGTGGAGACCTGGTTTAAGTCGATGTGCGATCTCTGCTAGGTGCTGGGCGCTGATGGCGGTCGCTGCCGTTTTGGTATAGGTATCGCAGCAGCCCGCTAGCGTGGCAGCCACGCCCAACCTCTTACAGCGACTTCTCGATCTTGATCAGCTCCAGGATGCCGTCGTGCATCTCCTTGACGGCCTCGTACTCGGTCAGGCCCATGCGGCGCTTGTTGGAGATGTCGTAGATGCCGCCCTCGGCCTCGGTATGCTCACCGCGCGTGCCGCGCACCTGCAGACTGTACTTGGCCGCCACTTCCTCCAGCTTCTTCTTGTCGGCGGCCAGCTTGGGGAGTTTGATGTGCACCGAGGCGCGGATGGTGGTGCCCAGGTTGGTCGGGCAGAAGGTCAGGAAGCCCAGCCGGCCATGGTGCGAGAACGGGATGCGCTTCTCGATGTCGGTGGCAGCGTTGACCAGCCGCCGGTACACCTGGCCCAGGTCGCCGCCCATCTGCATGCTGATGATGCGCAGGTGGTCCTCCTCGTTGCACCAGACCAGGAAGGTCTTGTCGTTGTTGTGGTAGATGCCGCGGCCGGTGGGCCAGAAGCGGCACGCGTTGGCCGCCTGCAGGAAGCGGTCACCCTCCTTGAAGAGGAAGTGGTCGTCGATGAGCTTCTGCTGCACATCCTTGGCCATGCCGGTCAGCGGGTAGAAGGTGCCCTTCAGCTCGCCTTCCAGACCGCTGAGCGTGGAGGAGACCTTCTCCTCCATCTCCTTGTACTGGGCCTCCGTCAGGCACGGGTTGAACGGGTAGCCCTCCATGGAGCGGCCGCACCGCACGCGCGTAGAGATGACGAACTGGCCCTCCGGGTCCACGTTGCCCACCGAGTTGACATCGCCAAAGTCCTGAAATACGGTGATGCCGTGAATTAGTGCCATCGGTCACCATGTACATACCGTCACCCGTAACGGTCAGCCGACACCTCTCCACCAGTTAAGTCAGCATTCAACATTGTTTAAAGGGACCCTCCCACCAGGGGCGGCGCCACGAATTTTTGACTGTGGGGTACTAGGGTGAAAAGGGCCCATGCATTGTGAAAGGAGCCCATGGTGAAAAGGGCCCTTGCACGGTGAAAAGGACCCATACATTTACATGGCGTAACCCGCGCTGTACTGGGGGGGGGGGAGTTTACGGCCCCCCGTCAGGCTTTTTGCGAATATCTCAAAAACGGCGGCGCACCTGTTCATACATCATTTCCGCACATGTGAAAATCTCAGACCCGGGTCTTCAAGGTCAGGTCACCAGGTCACGTCAATTGACCAGAAGTCAATGGGAGAAAATTGAAATGTGCCTCTTTTGGACGAGTGTCGTTCAAAACGCTCTCAAACATCGGTGCATACGTTAACATAGCACACTGAATCGGAAAACTGCACCTGTGACCCCTTTGTATGCCCCTGAGATCATCTCAGGTCGTGAACGGTCACCAGCAGTTTTGTGGCCATAACTTTTGATAGAGACGTGCTAGAGCGGTGAAAACACGTCAGATGTGTTCAGCTCGACGATACGGATCAACTGATATGCAGCATGACCCTTTCCGGGCAGGCCATGACCTTGACCTAAGGTCAAATAAAAAATGACCTTTCAAGGTCAACGAATAGTTCATTCGACGTGTGTCGACGAGAGGAACACGATGCTGCCAAAAGTAACGTCGTGACTCCCTTGAGTCAAAAGTTATTGCCGAAAAACATTGTTCGGGTAAACGGCTATTTTTACAGTTGTTGTCCTCTGGAGACTAAACCGTTGACCTGATGTCAGATCTGAGAGCATTATCAAGAAAGGTCTGTAAAAGAGCTATCGAATGCGCTTTTCCGCGGCGCTGTAGCTGTATTGGTTCCCGATTTAGGCGGTGGCAGTTTCCAAAATTACTGCAATGGACTAAATTAAACCTTTGATGACCTCTGGTGACCTGACCTTTAACCCAGCATTGCCTGGGCTATTTCCGTACCCACGACAGCCTGGGGGGGGGGTCGGATCCGACCCCCCCCTGTTATCTCGAGAACCAATGGTCGCATCGAGCCCCGCGAGGCGGCGTTCGAAAGGTCTCTACGAGACCTTCCAAAATCACTCTTAAAATTTTAGGATTGAGGTCAACTTTCGGGTCAAGGTCAGGTCAAAGGTCAATTTCTGGGGTTTTGCATGATAAGGCTTACGGACAGCGGAATCGATAGCTGCTGCTCGAAACTCACCACAAATGACCTCAAAGACCTAGTGAAGGTACCATGTGCGTGTAGGGGTCATACTAAGTACGGGTCAAGGTCAGGTTAGGTCACGAAAGGTCACGGTTTTCACTTTCTACTACATGGGCGTGCGACACATGTTTTATGGCTTATTTTTTCACACCGAATCCGATGGTAATGGTTATATGTGACCCCAATTCACTGTGCTGGTGATAAGTGTGCATTGAAAGCATAAAAAATCGTTTATACCATACTAACTAAACGAGGGCTAAGAAAAAAGGTCAAATTTTCAACTTTTTATTTTTGACATCAAAATGCACTTTTCTAGTCGAACTTTGTTCCAGGAATCTAGTAGTGCCATTTGTTTTCACATGCGATGTTCAGAAGTGCCTCTAATTCACGAAAATGCTCATGACGTCACCATGCCCTATGCATGTTGGAGCTATTTTTTTACAATTTCGGGGTCAAAAATCAAAATAGAAAGTTGAAATTTGGGACATCTAATGTTCTAATAGGGCTCTATAACATTAAGCGTCGACCCCGCCCGAAACCCGCCGAGCCAAAAAAGCAGACATTGTATGGTATTGTACATTGTACATTGTACATTATATGGCCTGTACTGGTATTGTTTCTTTATTTTGGCTGTCGAGCATTAATTTATGGTTTGAAATATTATTTTATGTAAAACAATTGATATGAAACAGCCGTCTCTAAAGTTATGACCCCATCTCACCACATGAAAGTGGCAGAAATGACAATGATCAGCTGACGCATTTTTCTTGGCCGAAGTCAGAGCGCGCGGCCCGACGCACCACCACCGTGCCACAAAGTATGAGCAGAAGCCACCTGCGGTAGACCGCGCCCAAAGCTAGGGCTCCGGTAACGTGAGGTAGCCGAGTCGGGGCAGCGTGCGCTGACCCAAGCCGGGGCCGCGGCTTTGGGCGCGGTCTACCGCATCCCCGGGCAGCCCCGCGGGCTATCACATGACACCGGGAGGACGCGCGGCCCCGGCTTGGGTCAGCGCACGCTGCCCCGACTCGGCTACCTCACGTTACCGGGGCCCTGGCTTTGGGCGCGGTCTACCGCACCACCTAACAGGCGTGTTCGAAACCGCAGGAGATGATGATGAACGGGTAATTCGAAACTTGATTGGATGAGCCTATCGGTAATAGCGATTTCAGTGTGTGCATTTATTGTTCATAGTGGTGTGAAATGTGGTTGGGGTACGACCGACAACCCGTCGGGGCGAATTTCGCACTGGGGTACTCAAAATTTGAAGAATTTAAGACGTTTCCATGAGTTTTGAAGGTATGGATAAGTTATAAAAATCCGGTTCTCCTTATCTGGGCCATTAACTCCATACGGTCCAGGAAAGCTGGTACACTACCTTTAAGCTTTTTTCATTTGCCTCTAATGACTTTTGGGACAAAAATTTTTCACATTTTTATTTTTTCCAAATAAACTTCATGTCATTGCAAATCGACATGCAAAAAATTAGAAAGGTGTTCTTTCTATTAGTTCCTCATTTTCCCGCAAACAAAATGGGTTTCGGAGGGGTTGATACGACCCCAGCACGCCGTTTCGCTTCTAATAGAGCTAGAGCCTCGCGGAAAAAACGAGCGTGTGTGCCGTTACAAGTCGCAGCGATTGGTACCCGATTTTAAGGTTTCAGGTTAACCGGTAGCGTCTGAGGTCAGGTCAAGTGACTGAAGTTACGGGTTCGGTTTTTAGTAAATAACTTCGCAAAAAATGGCCGCAGAGCCGCGATTTTGGCATCATTGTGTTCGCCTAGCTCAGGTGCATCGAATGGTATACTTTTTGCTAGGGTGAGGTCAACTTAAGTAGTTGACCTCGGGTCAAGGTCAGGTCAGAGCCCCTCAGGTCACGAAGCTGGGCAAAGGGTATCATATGGCATATCATTCGATTCGGAAGGTCTTCCCAAGTCCATTGGTGGCTTTCCCGACTCTCTAGCTCCATTTGATCGGGAGTTATTGACGAAAAACTCGTACGACCCTAGTGACGTCATAAATGACGTCACGTAAGGTTAATGCAAAAGTGAAGCATTGAACTTTGCAAGGAGTGCATGAAATCACGATACCATGTCGTGAGATAGTTTTAGATCATTTTCGGCGCCAAAATAACAGTTTTTATATTTCCCCATTGATTTTTAACAGTGATGTCACGTGACCGACCTGACCTCATGTAACCTTAAAAAATCCCCAGATATTCAAGTTGTGAGACCTCTGGAGGACACCATGTATGCGTCCTGTAACTTTCATCTCGGACAGCTATGGTCATTGGCGTCCAAAACAATGTCAGAACCAAACAGTCTTTTTCACCCTCGCGCTTATAGGAAAGAAGGTTGGATGAACCCTCTTTTCACTTTTTTCAGATGACTCAGACTTCAATTGAAATTTCAGTGACCCATGATGTCACTAGGCAGCTTTACCACGCCATCTGTAAGCTCCCCTCCCGAAATCACTATTCGAAACCGTTATCGTGACGTAAAATAAATACATTTATAGAAAGAACACCTTCCTAATTTTTTGCATACTGCTTAACAATGAGCCAAATATTTTTTTTAAAGCAATAAAAATTCAAAAAAAATTGGTCCCAAAGTCCAAAAAATACAAATGAAAGAAAACTCGATCTGTCATATATCAAAAATAGCGTATTTTTCGAAATTTCAAAAATAAATATTAATCTCTGTTTCATTGCAAGTTAAATGTTATATAACATTTGGCATTTGAATAATCCGTCTTAGAGTTACAGCCCGCCGAACTTAGCGCTGCAAAGCAAGATCCAAAAAATGTTATACACCATAATTCAAAAAATACTTATCTGATAAGTCTGAAATTGTTACAGGTGGATTCAGAGCCCCTGATTACCCCTGAGACCAATTCTCGTCAAATTCCGAGAGATGAGGGTGTCAAATTGGAAAAAGTGGTACGATCTATCGTGGAATGCCCCAGCTGCAAATGACGGGCAGATGGCATATAACTGACATAGGGTTAGGAAATATTCACCCGTATTTAAAGCCTATGGCGTTGTAGATTATGCGATAATGGGATGTCGAATGTCATCAAGTAGCTCCTGATTTGTACATCGCTATGCACCTATCGACCAGCGCAATAATTAGCTAATTGCCTTCGCTTCACATCATAAGGCTCGCTCGTATTTCACCAAACATATATCCTACATCGAAAATCGTATTTGTTAGGAATCGTTAACGTTTGTTCGAAGCATGTGTGAGTAAAAGATTGATGATTGATGGGCCTCTTGGTCCCATATAGGGGAGAACGGGGCGATTTGGCCGCTCTTTTGTAAAAACGATATTTTGAGAAAACCAGTGCGCGTTTGGTCGATTTCTCCATGGAGGGGTGTGGGGCGTTCAATTGTTGTTCCGGCCTATTACTTGCATCATGCCGGGACATCTCGTTTCGGTAGTAATTAAACGTTTTTTCAAAGACTGCACGGCGGCCAAATGACCCCGGTACCGGGGTCATTTGGCCGGGGGAGTGGGGTCATTTGGCCGGGGGAGTGGGGTCATTTGGCCGGGCATGTGATTCAGAGATATACCCATTACAGAGCTGAGACAACCTGAAATATTGACGCCCAAGATTGTGCTTAACTCATGAATTCTGGATTGACTCGTCGACGCATGACTGATGTGACGATCCAGATGCCCCAATGCTGACACAAATGATGAACATCGTGACTCATCTTTGATTCGCCTAAAATCCTTAATTTTCCAAAGGACTAGGCTTACACTTGATTCATTTGAATCAGTGCAAGTGAGGAGCCACATTTGATTTACGAGCTTACGACTCATGAGTTGAGCAGTAAGTGCCCAGTGATAACAACAGCCAACCGTAATGGCTGCCAAATCGTAGATTGCTTTAGACGGCAATCGCCCTGCAAAAAAAGTCTTTTGTGCACGAGTTGTTTGTTTATTTCAAATTCTGTCGTAAACATGGAATCAAAACGATTCCAGCAGGCCCCGTCTTCGACCCAGCACTTAAACACATCCACTGTAAAAGACGGTCCGACGGCATGGACACATGTCCAGTCATCACTGCGCTTCACTGTTTTTGACTTTTGCTGTTTCTTCGACGGTCCAGCTGCCGACGTTCGATGGTTCGACCAGGATGGTTCGACGGTCCAGCTTGTGGACCCCGCTTTTTGCTCCTCGCCATGTGCCTGTTGCTCGTCCTCCAAAGCCGTCCGCTCCGGGCTGCTAGTCAAGATTTTAGAACGCCCTTTCTTCCGACCGGCTTTTCGAACGTTGATGCGCAGCTGCGGTCCGGAAGTGGTCGGATGGACTCGGCTTCCGACAAGCGGCAGGCAGCTGGAGCACGGCCGCGGCAGGCAGCTGGAGCACGGCCCCGGCAGGCGGCTGGAGCACGGCCGAGGCTGGCGGCTGGAGCACGGCCGAGGCTGGCGGCTGGAGCACGGCCGAGGCTGGCGGCTGGAGCACGGCCGGGGCCGCGGCGTGCTGATCTGCCGTCTCTGGGGCGACGACCGGTACGAAGACCGCCGTCGGCGCAAAGTCTTCGTCGTCGAAGGTATCCCGGTTGAGCGGCGATATCCCGGCCGCTTCGAATCCTTAAAGGGAGATAATGAGCTTTCTTTTTTCTTAAATAAAAATTACTCGACATCTATACTATTTCTACTGCAGTTTTTATAAAATATGAAAATTTCCTAGCACATTTTCGTATGTGAAAGAGGTTTTTATTTTTGCAAAAAAGAAGCAGTACCTACTTGCAGTACTTGTATATAACACCCACCGAAATGCGTTGTCCTTCTCTATAAAAAAGTCGCAGTATATGGCGCTTTTGTTTCAAACAGCGACGCTTGGGTTTTTGCTTATGTTATCGCCTTGTCGTTGCTTGGTTGTAAGGATTCTAATTTGAATTAGAGTTAATTCGGTTTAGAATTAGGTAATTAGATTCTAATTCGGGGGTACATAGTGCCTACTCTTCTTTGTTTCCAAGTATTATTTTGCGCCACAAATGAACGGCATGCGCCAGAAACGCAGCCAAATCTTGCGATTGCGACTACGAAATTCATTATTTTGGCGTCAGAGCCTGAAGCGAAAAATACAAGCATATTTATTTCAAAAAGACTTCAGGTTTGTGGAACGGTGTTATGAGAATTTTGATAACAGTACTGCATAAGTTTTTCAGTGATGCCGCAAAAGTGTTGTATCTATCTTCTTTTATTGTGCAGTCGGCGGGACCGATTCAAAATTGAGTCGTTGCTACTAAAATAGCAGCATATGGCGTCAGATGGTGAACAGGAAAAATACGAGTAGTTGCGTAAATTTAGACATAAACCACCCCCAAACCATGAATATCTTTTGAAGGCACTATAGACGACCATTAACCCGGCAGTTGCTGGGGTATTTCGCCACCCACCGTTTGCTGGGGGGGGGCGTTAAACGCCCCCAGCCGATAACTCGAGAACCAATAGGCGCAGCGAAACGCACGAGGCGGCAAACGAAAGAGCGCGACGAGACGCTTCAGATGAGTACTTTAAAGTTGAATTTTGAGGTCACAGGTCGGGTCAAGGTCAGGTCAAACACCTGAAATCGGGCTTTCAGTAGCATGGACTTCAGGACTTCGCAATGGGCGCCTCTCGCCATAAACTCTGTCAAAACGGTGCACAATCCATCTTATAAGGCCTACAAGAGTGTCAGCTTCATATAGGGATCAGTCAAGCATAGGTCAGGGTCAAGGTCAGGTCAACCGGGTAGGCACATATCCCCGAAAATCAAAACTGATATTCGCAGCATGTGACACATGTTTTATAGGTAATTTGGGGCGTAGAACACGATGGTGATATTCATTTTATCATATGTGTACGTGTTTGGCTCAAAAAGTTCAATTTAAGAAATTCATGTATCATGGTCGTGAAGAAGTCACGAAAAATTGCCAAGATTCAGCTCAAGATTTTGGAAAATGCGGAACGATAATCAATAATCGAAGATAGCCATTTGATTGATCATGGTATTGGCAGTCTAATGGCGTTTACGGCATGTCTGTATGTCTATTCTGTGATTTTATATGATTTTTTGAACATATGCCGTTTTTGGTCGAAAAGTCAGAAATCATGACGTCACTAAAACCTCGATATCTCAAAAATTTTCCGACCGATTTTTTTGAAACTTTGTCACAATAAACTTCAATCAATTCCCTACAGGTACCCAAAATATGGCGCGCCTGCGGCGCGCCGTTTTTATGCTATGGCCCGGCGAAAAAAGTGGGGGCGTTTAACGCCCCCCCCCAGCAACTCGCGGGTTAACTAACTAGATGTGATGAAGATCAAATGTAAGGAATACGCTCATTTTACAAAATTACATGCAAGTACCAAAAAGTGATGTAAGTACTTATTCAACGGTCATTTTCAGCGCTCCCCGCTAACGTGACTTCAAGTTGAGATATTTGCGGCAAGGTACCGAATTGAGCAAAATGGTTTTAATTTACATTATAACTTGTTGTGGTTTGTCAGAAAATGGTCCTAACTCAGATTTTGTGGAAAAAGGTCATTATCTCCCTTTAATTAAGGATGTTCTTCCGCGTGAAGCTGTGGCGTCTTAGGCACGACGAAAAATCGGCGCCACCTGTGACCTGGTGGAGGTCGATGTGACGTCCCGGATTTACCATCTGCCGCCGGGTGCCGTAAGCCAATCAGCGGACACCTTGGCTAGGTTGTCCCTTGCATTTAGACTGCGCCGCATTACCATCCTCAGCGGCAGAACTTAGCCAGCGCAGCGCGTCGCTCGCAGACTAGGCAAAAAATCAACGGAGTCGCTGGGCGGCCAATTCGCCCCGTATGGGGCGGCCAATTTACCCCAATATGACATTTTTAGGAAAAGGGGTCCGCAGACAAGCAAAAATTGCAATTGCACGTGAAACGTCAGCGAAATTCATAGTCCTTTACAGATGGCAGGGGTGTCGTTTGTACAGAGGTCGCTGATGGGCACGGGTCAATGCTGCAGTCGTGGGCGGAGCCTAATGTCATATGACGTATGAAAGCCTCTATCTAGGATGGAAAAACAGTTAACATTACGAGTCAATGACAAGTGCCACAAATATTTAAGTGACAACAAAATGTATTTGAAGAAAAAGTTTCGGCAGGTCTTGAAACCGCTATTTCCTAAATATGGTTGAAATTATTCCACGCATTTAAAAATAATCGCGAAAAATTAGGGTCTCAAAGCGTCTGGCGTTAACAGTAGGTCTTGGATATCAACTGTAAGAATGACAGGAGCACAATTTTTTGTAGAGGTATTGTCACTTAACTTAACCAGAGGCCTGTTTCGCTAACAAATAAACTTTGTAATTACAGAGAAAAAACTTCAGTTTAAAATAAATAATTACCAACATGTGAAATATGGATTTCATATGAAACCTCCGAGCATGAATTTTGAGTTTACAATTTACCAACTTTTTTACATGAAAAAAGGTTGTAAGAAACATCGAAATCGCAAACTTTCTGTTTCACGAAGACCAAAAACTTAAAAAAAAACGTTGTACTTACAAACCCGAAATTCCAGTGGCCCTTACGTTTGGAATTTTGTTACTTTTTGCGCAATAATGCAAAGTCATCAATTATTTTAAACAAATATGTTATGCTGAGTCATTATATGCTGTTTTTTTACTTAGAACAATCCCTACGAACCAGCTAAGAGCAATATTTAAAAATCGTCATGTTTTGTCATTTGCGCGCCATAATTGCATTCAACAGCCTTCTGCTGTCAAATGTTATGCGTGTTATTTTCGTTGTTCCCTGGTATTATTATTATTATATTATTATATTATTATATTATACCCTGGTATTTTCTTTCAATAATAGGATATTGTGAACTATCATTCATATCATTTTGCAACAGCATCATTATTTATAATTTAATTATTCATTTTTTTACATGAATACTAGACATAATTTGATTAAAAGAAGCAATATCTGTAACATGTAATAGTTTTTGACTTAAAACAATTTTACTGTTTACAAGTTTATTTGCAAACTCTTTTATCGGAGGTGTCGCTGGTGGTGAAGTTTAGTGAAAACCGATTTTACATAGTTTGCAAAAATACTTATGAATGGTGAAGTTCAAACACTTGCAATCACAAGTTTTTAGTGAAACAGGCCTCTGATGGCCTGTCCTTATATGACCTGAGGTAAACAAATTTGACACACAATGCAGAATTGTCGTATTATAAGCAAAGCCAAGGTTGCGACACTGTGCGCTGCAGTTTTTTTTACGCACAAAACGTGGCCAAGGTAGGCGTGGCCAAAAACGCCCCCACCCGGACAAAGGCAATAAATAAAATACATGAATTGAGTTAACCTGCTGAACTAATTATGGCTATATGATATGTCTTACATACAGCAAGGGCTCCGGCAAGCAAATTTTTTGAATCTAAAGCTTTTTTTTCTTAAACTTTTTAAATGCAGGAACTGTCATTGATCTGGATGCACGGCATATGGGTGGACACGGACCTTGTTGGGGTGTTTGTCGGTCTTCTTGAAGCCGGCGTGGTAGTCCTCGATAATGGGGTCGAACAGATCGGCGAACAGCGTGTACGCCTCTGCGTCTGGCGCGTACACGCCCACACCGGAGTCGAGATTCTCCACACCTGTGGGCGAGCACCCCGGCGGGGCGGGCGTCAGCGAGCGATCCGAGCACGCCCGAGCACCCCGGCGGCGGGCGGCGGCGAGCGGTCCGAGCACGCCCGAGCACCACAGAGTCCAGCCACCCTCTCACCGACCGGGGCCACGGCAAGGCCGAGTATGTGCCGGTGCACTGCACAGGGCGTGCAACAACGTTGCTGGACCTTGCTAGGCAATCACAGTCGCTCCTATATACGAAGTGGCAATGCAATACCTAGCATCGCCGGACCGAAGGTTTGAAGGAAAGAAAAAAAGAACTTTGAAATTAAATTAAATACATTTGTTGGGGTTAACAAGCATGACTAGGTAGTGCTTCGTAGTTTTTATTTCAAAGGCAAGTCTTCATACTTCAAAGGCAAGTCGTCATTGCTCTGGAAAATCTTGTCATTTTGGTCTTAGCATTGTCAATGTACCTTCGCTGTTAGCCGCACAACTCAAGATCCACCCAAAAGTAGCAGGGCCTCCTCTCAGGATTTTTCACTGGGTGGGCAAAATTTTTCGCCGCTCCCCTGCCCAAGGGCAGATCCAGTCACTTGTGTTGGGGTGCAACCATTTTCACCTGCGACTGGGGGGGGGGGTTAAAGGGACTATCCCACCTTCAAAAAAGTACCATTTAGGATTCGGAAATGTTACTCATGATATTGTGACGAATTCTGCAAGTTTTTACGCGTTTTCATTGTATACTTTTTGAGATATTGCGACTTTTATATTTCATCGTGACGTCATTTAGATCGGATCCGTGACGTAATGAAGGATTTACTTCATGTCAATGTGGAGGAAATTTGGCAGCAAATATAGGTATTTGCTCTCAAATATGACGCGGCTCATACAATAACAAGTAACAAGATTTCCCCGGCGCCGATTTCAACTTATTCGTAAAGCAGGTCGAACGCGTGAACGGCTGATGACGTCATCAAATGGCCGTTAATAGTTAAGAGATAGGGCCTTAGCGAAGGCCCACTTTTCAAATGAAGGGAACGGATTTCTTTAACACCACGAAACTGAGGATATTGCGACCAGGATTATAGTGGTTTCTGAACCTGGCCGCCAACTTGGCTATCTCAACTCAGAACTTGTGGGACAGTCCCTTTAGGCCTATGTCACTTTCACAGTCAACCAACTGTGCCATTTATAGTTTAACGTTTGTCGTGTGTGATATGGTATTTCGTGTGTATTTCACCTTAAAGGTATGCCTATTGTCTACATTAGTGATGTCAATAACGGAAAATCAGGATACCGATACCAAACCAAATGTCAACCAAAACCATGAAAAATACCGAAACCAAACCAACTTGGGAACATGAGGGAAATACCAACTTATTACCGAATTCGTATCCTCTTATACATTAGCCGGATTCGTAATACCAACAAAATACCAACAACATTAGGATCAAAATACCAAATACCAAGTTGGTATCGGTTTGGTATCGGTATACCAAAAAGTTGGTATCCGATTGACATCTCTAGTCTACATACATTTAAATTTTTAAAATTAAATGTGCAGAGTTAAACTTACTATGATTGCTCCTTGAACCAGAAAACGAATAGGTAGGTGATGCTCGCTGCCTCTTTTTAGGAGGCATGGTCAGCTTACTCTTGGCGCGTCCTCTTGATCTAAATACGTCTTTTATTGACCTTAATCTACTTGTAATACATCCTTCGCCTTGTAGTGCGCTACCCTGCTGGCCCATGCCGGTCTTTGAGGGTCCCACACTGACCTCTGAGGCCCCATGCTGGCCTGTAAAGGCCCATATTAGCCTCTGAGGGCCCCGCACTGGATTCTGAAGACCTGATGCCGGCCTTTAACCATCCCCTGTATTGGTGTTTTTCCAGCCGCAAACGTATAGGAGGGGGGGGGGGGGCGTTGCACCTCCCTTGCCGTTTCGCTCCTGATCGAGCTAGAGCTTCGCGGAAAAAAACAAGCGTGTTACCCGTGACGAGAGGAAGCCGATGATACCCAATTTTAACCCTCGCCGGCACAGGCCATTGCGTCCTTCGGCGGCACGACCCCCCCCCCCCTCGCGTTTGGCCCCTGATCAACCTAGAGCTTCACGGAAAAAACGAGCGTGTTCCCCGTCACGAGAGGAAGCCGATGATACCCAATTTTAAGGTCCTAGGTCATCTGGTGACCTTCCAGGTCAGGTCAATGACCCGAAAACCGGGAAAATCGGGACCTGTTAGAAAGTCGTAAAGTGTGGCTGCTATGTGGTTTTCCGGGGTGCTGATCACGAATATAGTGTTAGTTTTGATCAGAGATGATGTTTTAAGAATTTAGACCAGGTCGGGTCAGGTCAGGTCAGGTCAACCGGTAGGGGTTGTAACGGGTATTCGTATTACGTGTCAACCGCCTCTGACAGCTTCGTAACATGTTACGAAGGCACCAAAACTACTTCGTAAATGTTCAAATGGCTGCTAAATTCGAATTCAGCTAAAAAACTAGCCTAGAACATGAAAAAACTCGAAAAAGTGAACCGAGGTCACCCGAGGTCACCAAAGGTCAATGACCTGACCTGACCTTCAGGTGAGCTTGACACCCACCCTTATGTATGGGAGCAACATCAAATCACATGTTTGAACGTTTGAAACCACGAAAAGCTTGCAAACGCGCTGCTAATGCGAGCCGACATATGCCGAATCGCGATTTCGGCCAAACATGGTCACGGAAAAGAGGTCACAGGGCAAAGGTCATTGGGGTCAGGGTGATGAAATTTTCAGGGTAGGTGTAAAATTGATCAATGCGAGGGTACTGAAAGTTTCATAGCGATCGGCCGCTTTTTACGCGAGTTATTCGCGAAAAACCTTAGTGGGGTTGCATCAACCCCCCTGTGCCGGCGAGGGTTAAGGTCCTAGGTCATCGGCTGACCTTCCAGGTCAGGTCATGGACCCAAAAGTTGGGAAAATCGGGACGTTGGCTGTTAGAACGTCGTAAAGGGTGGCTATGGTTTTTCGGGGTGCTGATCACGAATATCATGTTAGTTATGATCATGAATGATGTCTTCATGCATTTAGATCAGGTCGGGTCAGGTCAGGTCAGGTCAACCAGTAAGGGTTTTGCCGGGTATTCGTAGTAGGTGGCAACCTCCTCTGACAGCTTCGTAACATGTTACGAAGGCACCAAAAATACTTCGTAAATGTTCAAATGGCTGCTAAATTCGATTTCAGCTAAAAAAAGCCTAGAAACATGTAAAACTCGAAAAAGTGAACCGAGGTCATCAAAGGTACATGACCTGACCTAAAATTCAAGTGACCTTGACACCCACCCTAATGCATGGGGGCAACATCATATCCCATGTTTGAACGTTTGAAACCAGAAAAGACTGCATACGCGTGGCTAATGCGAGCCGACACACCGAATCGCGATTCCGGCCAAACATGGTCTCAAAAAGTAGGTCACAGGTCAAAGGTCATTAAGGTCAAGGTCATGAAATTTGCAGGGTAGGTGTATAATTGATCAACGCGAGGGTACTGAATGTTTCGTCGCGATCGGCCGCTTTTTACGCGTGTTATTCGCAAAAAATCGAGGGGGTCCGTTCGACTCCCCCTATACGGGCGAGGGTTACCCCCGAGTTGCTGGGGGGCGTTCAACGCCCCCACTTTTTTCGCTGGGCCATAGCAAAAAAAAAAAAACGACGCGGCGCGCAAAATTTTGGGTACCTGTAGGGAATTGATTGACGTTTATTGTGACAAAATTTCAAAAAATCGGCTGGAAATTTTTTGAGATATAGAGGTTTCAGTGACGTCATGATTTCTTGGTTTTCGACCAAAAACTTAATGTGTTAAAAAAAATCATAAAAATCACAGAATAGACATACAGACATGCCGCCATTAGACTGACAATACCATGAACAATCAAATGGCTATCTTCGATTATTGATTATCGTTCCTCATTTTCCAAAATCTTGAACTGAATCTTGGCAATTTCTCATGACTACTTCACGACCATGATACATGCATTTCTTAAATTGAACTTTTTGAGCCAAACACGTACACATATGATAAAATGAATGTCACCATCGTGTTCTACGCCCCAAATTACCCATAAAACATGTGTCACAGGCTGCGAATATCAGTTTTGATTTTCGGGGATATGTGCCTACCCGGTTGACCTGACCTTGACCCTGACCTATGCTTGACTGACCCCTACATGGAGCTGTCACTCTTGTAGGCCTTATATGATGGATTGTGCACCGTTTTGACAGAGTTTATGACGAGAGGCGCCCATTGTGAAGTCCTGAAGTCCATGCTACTGAAAGTCCGATTTCAGGTGTTTGACCTGACCTTGACCAGACCTGTGACCTCAAAATTCAACTTTAAAGTACTCATCTGAAGCGTCTCGTCGCGTTCTTTCGTTTGCCGCCTAGTGCGTTTCGCTGCGCCTATTGGTTCTCGAGTTATCGGCTGGGGGCGTTTAACGCCCCCCCCCCCCCCAGCAAACGGTGGGTGGCTAAATACCCCAGCAACTGCCGGGTTAAGGACCTGCATCGGCTCTGAGGGCTCAACTTGGCCTTTTCTGGACTCTGGGGTCCAACACCAGCCCAAGCCTGTCTTTTAGGGTGGATGGGACCCTGAGGGTCCCATCCTTGCCTCAAGGAACCGCATTAGCCTTTGAGAGCCTAAGTCGGCCTCTGATGGCCTCTAACTGCCATTTTCAGGCCCTGTACTGGTCTCTGAGGGCCTTAAACTGGCCTCTGAGGGCACAAACCGACCTTTGAAGGTCCCATTCCGGTTTCTGATGGCCCATTTTCTGCCTCTGAGATCCAAGACTGACCCTTTTGTGCCTCTGAGGGCCCCGTACTGGCTTCTGAAGGATCGATGCCGGTCTCTGAGGACCAATGTCAGTCTTATAAGGGCCTCACACTGACATCTGAGGCCCACATTAACCTCTGATGGCTCCAAATTGAGGCCCTTTTTAGTCCCCAATCAGCCTATAAGGTCTCTGATGGCCCTATTTTGTTGTGTGGCTGGG